CGGCTGGCGGGAGGATACAGCCGTGGGAGTATCTCCATCATGAGAGCTACTGGTTCCGTTGTGCTGCCCAACATACCGAACGCAGGAGACAGCTTGCGGAGAATATTCCAGATGAGGACCGAGTCGCTCCCACGCAACCTACCGGCCCGTCATCACTGAGTAGGGCCACTGTTTACGATAACTATCTCGCCCCTGAACCTTACGATGAATATCCCATGTCTGACCATCCAGGGTTCGCCCATTCTAAATTGATTCTTGGTTTCCTCGAATCGTCAACAGAGGAGTTCTCCAAAAGGCAGCAAAATCGCATTGTAGAACAGCTAAGGCTAAAAATGGCGAAGGAGCATATTAGAATTGGACAATGGAAAGATGGATTGGCTCTCATACAGCCTTTATGGCTGCAGCTATCATGGCGGAGGGAGGGCTGGTGGGGGCTGATGGAAGATTTTGCTTGGACGCTACGAGAATGTGCCATTCAAGCTGAAGATAGAGAGACTGTTTTGCGGGTAGACTGGGAGTTAATGAACCATAGTAAGATTGTCCTCCCTATTACTGTCCTTTCTACTACCATTGTGGATCGGTTACATATTTGCTAATTTGCTTGCTGGTCGTAGTATTTACCATGCGGCAAGGATGGTGTTACGATATCCATAAATGTATTGATAATCTGCCGGCCGTGAAACCGAAACCAGTTGTGATTCTTAAAGGAGAAGACTCGGTTTCCTGTCGTGCGTTACCCTTTAAATCCTAGCACTGTTGGAATTCAAAGTAACAAGCTAATTATTTTGTTCATTCTTCTACCGGTAGTTGCGGCATCCTTTGTCTTCGCCAAATCGGAAGGCAATGTGGGAGAGCCCCTACAGTCACAGCTTGTTATCAGGTCGTGTGCTCATGCTGGATCTTCGCCAATTCGCTTGACGGAGGTAAAAGTTGCGTTTGAAGGCAATATTCGTCCTATTAAGCTTCTAGCAAGTGAAAATGAATCTTCCAGCTCTTCCAGCGGTTGTGAGATCGTACCTGTTTCGTTGCAAGATTCTGTAAACTTGGACGCTTCAACCGTGCAATCGCCAACTGCTGGGTTGCCTCAGATGGTCGGGGCTACCAACCTCTCATTTGGCCCGAAGCAGACACGGGCGTTCAACCTTGTGTCGGTGCCACGAGAACCAGGTGAAGCACAAGTGGCGTCAATTACATTACGAATCGAACAAGAAAATTTCGATCTATCCTGCGTTATTAGTGAACAGAATCGAGATGAGTCGGTCTGGTGGAGAATGGGGAAGCAAGGGCCCATTGCCCGGAGGACAGGAAAGGACAGAGATACTTCAGTATCACGAATCTTGCCGAAACCCCCGAAAGTCCGCATCTCGACGCCAAGGTCACGGAATCACTATTACACGGATGAGAAGGTTGTGCTTGATGTTCAGATCGATAACGACGAAGACGAAGCGGCTGAGGTTGACGTTGAGATCAAGTTGTTTGGATACACTGAAACTTCAGCAACTTTTTCATGGATTAATGAGACGGCTAGTGACTCAATAGCAGCCGAGGATGCAAGCCCTAGTTCTCTTGATACCCCTATTGAGGGTGGCTCTTCGACCCTCTCAAAAAGACGTACAGTTGGGACATTGGCTTGTGGAGCCAGCCGCACTCTTTCCATCCTGTTCACAAACACGACACTGCCACTAGATTATGAGGTTGAAATATCTGCCTTCTATCACCTAGTTTCCGATGTTGAGACGAAAATATTCAAAACTGTTTCCTTAGACCTATCCTTTATTAGACCGTTCGAGGCCAATTATGAATTCTTACCACGAATTCATCCAGCACCGTGGCCAGATTTCTTCCATTACGACGATTCACCATCGGAAGATAGTGAAGAGCAGGAGCAGAAACACAATGGCCTTCAGCAATTATGGTGCTTAAACTCGAAAATAGTGTCTTTCGCTTTAGAACCACTTATCATCGAAGAAGTCAACGTGTCGCTGCTAGGGATCACGGCTGGTAATATTTGCAGAATCGGCACAGAAACTCTCAAAAGCCCTGAAGCCCCTACGATTGGGCCTGAAGGGCTGCGAGAATCTGAATTCACCATGGAAATCCAACGCCTTGCGCTTAATAACCGGCAGCCGTCGACCTTAAACCTTGCACTGGATATACGATGGCGCCGCCCCGACGACGACAACAATGACCAACAATCGTCATCTTCATCCCAATCAACGATATCAACACTTCCGATCCCCCGCTTCCTCGTCCCCCTCGTTGAGCCCCGCGTTCTCGCCCACACAACGCCGTCCACAACTCTTCCCGGCTTCCTGCACCTCGACTACACTCTCGAAAACCCCTCAATGCACTTTCTCACCTTCAACATTACAATGGAAGCCAGCGATCAGTTTGCGTTTCACGGACCCAAGGCCACGACATTGCAACTGGTGCCGCTCAGTAGACATACGGTGAGGTATAACTTACTAGCCAACGTGAGGGGCAAGTGGATACAGCCGCAGTTGGCAGTGGTGGATTCGTACTTTAACAAGACGTTGAGGGTGTTGCCCACAGAGGGGATGATGGGTGATAAGAAGGGCATTTTGGTGTGGGTTGATGCGGACGGGTGAGAGGGATGGTATGCGCGTTGTTCGAGTTACGTTACGTATTCGGAAATCTGCGGAAGACCAAATCACTGAGACAAGGAAGGAATTTACTCGATATATTGCTTTTTGTCATATCCATAGGTAGTGCGTCCTTTGTTGGAAGAGACGAATTGAAAAAAAAAAAAAAAAGGAGGAAAGGAGGGGGGGAGATGCAGCACAGCGCGGATGAATTCGTATGAGACATGTTTCTCAATATCATGACCTTAAATTCGCTCCCCGCATTATTATTATCACGGATATTCGATAGGAAACTTTTCCAGCTTGTCTTGAATCCCGTCAACGAACTTGATGCTTCCCTCATTCACTCTAGAATTTCATTTTTGATGTCGCCAACTCCAATCACTTGATAAGGGTCTGAAAAATATGATTAAAGCAACTGCTCCAAGAACATTCAGAGATGCATTGGCAATATATATATCCATGCTGTGGTGGAGATGGAGCATTCTAAACCACGCCGAGAGAGCCTCCAGAGATGGGCAAAACAGCTTCCGCAAAATTGTGGAGAGCATCTCAGCAATGTCGGCATCGGCATCTTTATAGACCACATAATTCTCGTTCACATCTTAGCCAGCAGTTATCCAGCTGCGTGGAGCAGTCGGGGCAATGTGCAATGGGTTGATTTACACTCTGAATGCAGAGTCGTCCACACTGACCAGTAGCTGAAACATGCTGGCTTAGCTTACTGAATATTGGAATATGAACTAGTATGGAAGTTCTCAGACTTGAAACTCAATGTAACTCATAACTTTTGAAAGTGAGAATATCATCCTGAGTTTTGTCAAAGAGCAGGTGGCTCGGTTGATGCAATGCAAAGCTGATTCAAATATCACAACAACTTTGAATCTTTTGGTTTGAGAGGACTAGGCAATATGTATCCTCAAATTGCCAATTTCAGCACCTGCGACTCAGCTTGGCAATGGTAGTCATGATGATGTTGTTCAACTTGGTACCTGTCCCATACAGTCTGGCTATTATTGTGCTCCAGAAGTGATTCTTGGTTGCGGTTGGAGATTTAGTGCGGATATATGGAATTTGGGAGTTATGGTAAGAGTATACCTACATATAAAACATTTGTTGTGGTCCCCCTAACGCCCTGTGTTAATATAGTTGCTCACACACTCTGCAAC